TTAGAGAACAAAAGTACTAAGAACAGTTATGATGATGGTGGTGGTGATGATGATGGTGGTGGTGGTGGTAGTGGTAGTAATAATGATGAAAATTAAAATTAAACACGTCTTGAGCAGTTAAGACAAGATCATGCAGTATTATACTTACATACTTAGCGTCCTAAAAGAAATTAAAAGATAGCAGGGGTCAGAAACCATATTTGACAAAATAGTACTGGGGGCTGGAGATATATGATTTAGTGGTTAAACATATACACTGCTCTCAGAGGACTTAAGTTCAGTTACCTGAAAAGCAGTAAACATTAGACACCAAATATCCCAATCTAAATGACACTTTAAATAATATTCAAAATGGCAAACGAACTTAGAAAGGAAACTAGAAAATACCTAAGAATAAACAAAAAGAAAGCAAGGTCAAAAGTTAGGTCTTTGAAAAGACTGCTTAATAAAATTGGCAAAACCTCTGCATGACTCTATCAGGAACGAACAAATGGTGAAAAAAAAATAGAACAGTCGTCAGGATGAAGAATGAGCTATAACTACAGATCACACAGACATCAGACTAGGACAAGCTCATAAACAATTTTAAAACCATACTTTTAGTAGCCCAACATATTTATGTGGCAATGAAACACCAGTAAGAAGACTTAAAATCTCACAGTTACTAATACTGGGAGCAGCAGATAAGAGGGTACCTACAATGTGAACCACATAATGTTCTAAAGTGGCAAAGCCAACAGATATTGACAAAATCAGACCAGTGTTTGTATGGCTGGGGACGCCAGCGAAACACATGCAACTGACTGGGAAAGGATCTTCACCAACCCTTTATCTGACAGAGGGCTATTATCCAGAATACATAAAGAACTTAAGAAGTTAAATACCAACAAACCAAGTAAGCCAAATAAAAAATGGAGTACAGAGCTAAACAGAGAATTATCAATAGAAGAATATCGAATGGCAGAGAAACACTTAAAGAAATGTTCAACGTTCTTGACCATCAGGGAGATGCAAATCAAAACAACCCTGAGATTTCACTTACACCCATCAGAATGGCTAAGATCAAAATCTCAAGTGACAACACATGCTGGAGAGGTGGAACTCTCCTCCATTGCTAGTGGGAATGTAAACTTGTACAACCACTTTGGAAATCAACCTGGTGCTTTCTCAGACAATTAGGAATAGTGCTACCTCAAGACCCAGCTATACCACTCCTAGGATATATCCAAAGTATGCTCAACTATACAACAAGGAAATTTGCTCAACTACGTTCAAAGCAGCTCTATTTGTAACATCCAGAAGCTGGAAACAACCTAGATGTTCCTCAGTGGAGGAATGGATACAGAAATTGTGGTACATTTACAGAATGGAATACTACTCAGCTATTAAAAACAAGGAAATCATGAAATTTGCAGGCAAATGGTGGGAACTAGGAAAGATCATTTTGAGTGAGGTATCCCAGAAGCAGAAAGACACACATGGTATATATTCACTCATAAGTGGATATTAGCCATATAATATAGGATAAACATACTGAAATCTGTACACATAAAAAAGCTAAACAACAAGGAAGACCCTAGAGAATATGCTCAATACTCATTCAAAAGGACAAACTCAATAGATATTGGAAGCAAGAGAAGACAGGGAACAGAACAGGAGCTTACCACAGAGGGCCCCTGAAACACTCTACTGATCGAGGTATGAAGCAGAGGCTGAGACTCATAGCCAAACTTTGGGCATAATGCAGGGAATTTTATGAAAAAAGGGGGAGACAGAAATCCCTGGAGGGGACTGGAGCTCTAAAAGGAGACAACAGAGCCAAAAAAAAAAAAAAAATAGTGGGCCGTGGGAGTCCTGTAGAGACTGATACCTCAACCAAAGACAGTAAATGGAAAGGACCTAAAACCCTGACTCAGATGTAGCCCATAGACCTAGTATCCAAGTGGGATCTCTTAATCCCTGATCCAAGGGGAACAGGGGCTGTCTCTGACATGAACTCAGTGACAGGCTCTCTGATCACCTGGCAAGGGGTGCAGCCTTGCCAGGCCACAAAGGAAGACAATGTAGCCACTCCTGATGAGACCTGATAGGCTAGGGTCAAATAGAAGGGGAGGAGGACCTCCCCTATCAGAGGATTAGGAAAGGGGCATAGAAGGATAAGAGGAAGGGAGGGTGAGATTGGGAGGGTGAGATTGGGAAGAGATGAGGGAGGGGGCCACAGCTGGGATACAAATTGACTAAATTGTAATATATTACAATAATAATAATAATAAAAAACATTAAAAAAAATACCGGCATTGCAAGTGGGAAGTGAGGGAATCAGAGTTCAAACACTGACTACAGTTATGCAGGAGCTTTGCAACCTTAAGAACATCAGTGAATGCCAAGTGCTGTGAATCCAGGGCTGATGGGACAATAAAAAAGTAATAAAATTAGTGCGCCAACAATGGGGATATATCTCAGTGGTAGACCACTTGTCTACCATGCGCCCAGTAAGAATCCAGTTTCAAATCCCAGAAGTACACACAAACAACAGAAAATTTGGTGTGGCCCCAATGGAAACCAGAAAGGAGGGTCTCAGAAAACTGCCAAGCGAACTGCTGTGCAATCCAGCGCTATCCCTCCTGGGTATGCCCCAAGGACATCGAGGTCAGACAAATGCCGACGCCAGCATGTTGATGTTCGCTCACAACAGCCAAAGAGTGGCACCGGACTAGATGCCGAGAAGAAAAGAATAAAACAAGGCAGTATATATACACAACATGAGTTTATTCAGCCACATGCTTTCTCTTCTATGCGGAGTTATACATTTCTGCTGTTAAAACAGAAAAGGAAGTAGTAATGTATATGAGATGAAGAGGTGTAAAAGACAAAGAAGAGAGACAGTGATTCTCGCAGGTAGAACACACACACATTAGACACAGCAGAGGGACGCTGACTATAAGGAGCGTGGGAGGGGACTGATGGTGGGGTAGGAAGGACAGGAGAGTAATGGAGAAGAAGGTCGATAAGAACAGGGTCCAGTGGTAACGTATGTTTAAAAATTTCATCAGGAAGCCCATTATTTTCTATACTAACTGAAATAAGCACGTAAGAAGAATGACCTGAACGTGAACATGAATCTGTGAATGTACCCCACAGCTATACACTCAACAGACCGGTCAGATGACGAAATGAAGCAGATAAACTCAACAGAGGGCAAACTGGACAGAAGGTGGCAGGAGCAGTTTTCTACCCCGCTTTCTCTGGGGTATCATGGGAGCAGCTGCCCCCACTGTCCCTCCGTGAGCAACAGGTACAGAGGGTGGGCGGGCTGACCTTTCTTTGTGATGGTTACAGTTGGAATAAGAGACATCTCAGGGACAGCTCAACTGTGGCCCCCATAAGTTATTGGTCTCGTATGCATGCTGAAATAGGAGCACCCCAAGGGGTGGACCACAGGGGCTGCTGACATGTCTGATGGGGTTTTTGGCAGGTGGCCACAATGCTTACTTTGATGCCTGGACTAATAGTCTCTTGCTTTGGCAAAGAGCACAAAAGGGAACACCATGTCCAGCTTCCGCACTGAGGGCCTTTATACAGTCCCCTGGGGTTAGGGAGCCGTCGGCTACTGCGGACCTCTGAACGCCAGCGTCCCGGTGAGCCCCTGTGGCAAGCGGCTGTTAGAAGCACTCTATTCTGTCCTAGCCTTGGAGTTTTAGAGATCTGGCTATAAGCGCCACAAACGGCCACCTATCACAGCCCCCAGCAGCAGGGATCAGGCCTTAGCGCCCTAGGTGTCTCCAGGGAGTTCAGCAGAGTTCCAGGGAGCCATCTATTAGGCCAGACAGAGCACTCCAAAGGCACGCAAGAGTACAAACATCCAAAGGGTGACCAGGGAAGCAGGACATATTCACCCCAGCTCTCACTCCTGGGTCGGTAAGCTTCATCTAACGGAAGCACAGTCAAAGGATAGGGGGCTCATGGGAGAGGGGTGAATCAGTGGTGGAGAACACAGTTTTGGGTATTCGGATGGCTACGTGCTGAAGACAGTTATTCTGACAGACGGCTTTCCAGCGGGGGCCTCAACACGTAGAAAGATGCAAAGGAGCTGGATGCCATCCCTTTCAGGGGGCTTCAAGTCTCACAGTATGTCTGATTCTAGGGGATGGAGAGAAAATGAGACGGCAGAAGTCACAGACGGAGACCCATGGAAGTAACACGCCATCTGGAAGAGGAAGGGAACCGACTACGAGATTTTAGAGAAGGCCACAGCCAAATCATCACTGGACAGATCATGTAACAGCACAAAGGTGAGAAGACTGGGAGGGACCAAACACAGCAGCAGAGAACTGAGCTGAAGTAACCCACTAGGGAGGGTTTACACAGGACGGCAGCGTCTCTGCAGAGTGGAAGGAAGCACCAGGCAACCAGAGGGAATCCCTGGTGAGGTGGAGATGAGAGAGTACAGTGGAACTCCAACCTGAGTAGACACGTCCGCTGTGGGTGCAACGCGAGTTAACCTCTATGTGAAAGTTTGAAAAACACCACGCCAATTCTTATTTATATTAGCAGGAACAAATGCAGAAGCCCCTCAGAAAGCACACGGACAGATCTGAGAAAAAAGTCAACGCTAAACTCAAAGAGAAATCCTGCCCAGCGTAGGTTGAGAAATGATCAGATCATACAAAGGCAACTTGCTAGCAAGAGTGCCATCTACTGCTGTAGAAGGAGAGTGCAGCAAAGAATGTCACAAACAGAAAGGTGGAAGGAAGCCCAAAGTCTGTGACCACTTCACAATGTTTATTATTCACAAAACATCTCAGCCCTCCCGCAAAAACAAAAACAAACAAACAAACAAAAAAACAAAAAAAGGAGAAAGAGAGAAGAAAGGAGGGAAGGAAGAAAGGAAAAAAAATGAAAGTTTCCCTCCTCCAATGGGTCAGCACTTTCAAAAACATCCAAGTGCTTTCATTTACTCCTTTCTCCTGAAACCATCTGTCTGGGTACGCAAAGCTTACCTGCCATCATTGCTACCAGACTGGCTTTGTAGACGTTGGTGAGGGAGCCGAGTTCTCCGGTAGCTAGGATGGTTTTGAGATGAACCTCACCACAGGCCTTTCGAAACTCACTGATCTCATCGTAGAGGGCTGCGGAGAAAATCATTGAGGCAGTTACAAAGCCACCAAGTGCTGACAGGACATGGCAACTCTTTGGAGCCAGGAGAACCCACTTCAGATATAAGGAAACATAAAACATTTGTCACTTATTAAACATCACCCCAATTTAACATCGCCTGGAGCATTCCGTTACAGTTCAGATCCAGCTACAAGGAAAGCCCGGTTTGCCACCATAAAACTGTTTCTAAGCCCAGGCCTTGGGGTTGAGAGTCATAAAGCTTCTTAAGTACCATTATAAGGACATGCAAATTATAAATAATCTCTACCTTTTCCATGTGATTATGACCTGAGGGGGGAAATCACACCAAATTTATCGGCCGTAGTTACTATACCACTTTTCAAGCCAGAGAAATAAAAATGATGGGGTTCCTGTTAATTCTTTTACTCAGAGGTAACAGGTTCTTTTGTTAGACTATAGAGCGTTTCATCCCTGGGAATTAACCAGTAATGACACAGGAAGACCATGCTGCCACTACTGAAGACAGGATGTGTGCATATCCCTACAAGGAAGTGATGGGCCTGGCCAAGTAACACTGGATGCAGGCGCTGAAAGCCACTGGTAGAGGGGGTGCCTTGGTGGGGCTTTCAATCAACCCTAAACCCTAGATCGCATCAGGCCTTCTAGAGCTCCAGATAGTAAATAGCCCGGTAAGGAGAGTAGACAAAACAGACAAAGATGTGTGTATTTATACACAGGACAAAATAAACTTGAGGAAAGCAGTTCAAGGAAACAGAAACAAAGTAAATTAGCAAACAAAATGCAAACAGAAACAAAAATATAAATACAGAACTATATAAAACAAAGAATAAAATACTAGTAAAAAAAAATAAATAAACCAAAAATGTTAGTAAACAAAACCAATGTGTGTCAAATTTTTTCAGAAAAACTACTTTAGAACTTTCTGTCAATGACGGCAAGCTTTAAGCTTTTACTCCCTATCGTACTGTCCACTCACTTCCTAAAACTCAGGAAACAGAAAATCCTACCATGAGGACCAAGGTGGCTTGTGGGTATGTCTTAGAGGAAGCGGTCTTACACACAGACAGACTGAAGCCAGTAACTCAAGGTGCCTGGCAAGAATGAAGGTTTGTCAGCTCCAGACTGTCCCCACAGAAGGTCTGAGGCGACGCCACTGTCTACCTCCCTTCCTCTGTCCACTCAATCTGACCTGTGGGATGGCCATCTGACCTAAGTGCCCACCGTGCCTACTGGCGTAGGAGAGTCTTAAACCACAGCCCCTACCATGCAGTAGTGATTTACAGCCTTTCTTTTTTTTTGTATTTTCAATACTTTTTTTTCTTTTTTTATTTTTTATTTTATTTTATTTTTATTTTTAGTTACAATTTGTAAACTCTGTGTCCTAGCTGTATCCCGCTCCCTCATTCCCTCCCCATCCCCAACTCCCTCCCTGGTCTCCTCCCTGCCCCTTTCCAAGTCCACTGATAGGGGAGGACAGCCTTTCAACCCAGGAAGATGATTCTAGGGTGGAAAGACCTTCCTTGATACTGAATCTAAAGGGAGAACACTGGAGACAAGATGACTTACAGGCTAAAAAAAAAAAAAAAAAAAAAAAAAAACGAAGAACGCTAACCCACAGTTAACCTAGGACTTAAAATTCTACAGTAAACTACTACAGGGGACTGCAGACTCCACAGCCAGCCAGAGCCGGGCTGAAGGCTAAGAAGCTGCTGCATCACTTCCTGTAGCACCTCAGGCAACACTCTGCCCAGTCTCGGTCCTGCCCTTACAGTGTACGACATACGTTATAGGGTTATTATGAAGACTGAAAGATGCCTGCATGCATGTGTGCGTGCGTGTGGCGGGGGGGGGGGGGGGAAAGAGAGGGGCGGCAGGGGGGGGGGAGGAGGCGGTAGTTTGCATTTTGCCTGGCATGTTGTGAGCCCTCACAAGGCTTGAACATCGCCATGAAGTCTGGTATTTTGGCATTTTGGTGAAATGAGTTTCCACCTTGTGATGTCTGATAAAAATCAAATACTATTTCACAGTCTGGCTTACTCCCTGTGGTGACCAGAAACTCTGCTGTTATGGTTAAAATTTAAAATATATATATATATATTTAACTACAGCTTTTGTTAAAGTGAACCTCGACCCGAGCAACAAATTCTTAAACAATTATGATCATGTTTATGAAAGAAACACTATAAAATTTTAATGACCTTGTATCAAATAAACCAGAAAAACTAGATGTGTTTTCTGACCACCAACTGGAGGGGATGTTCTTTAACTCAAAACCCAAACGGAAGGAATCTGAAGGGATGACCTATGCGTCGGTGCCAATTTCTCACATCATTTCACTAATTTCATGGCATTAACAATATCATACTTTGCTAAGAGGATAGAGCTTGGTTTTATTTTGGTTTATTTATTTTTATGTGTGCGTGCATGCGTGTGTGTGTGTGTGTGTGTGTGTGTGTGTGTGTGTACGTGTGTGTGTGTGTGTGTGTGTGTGGAATACATGTAGGACCATGGCAGCTCTGACTCAAAAGAGCAAGGTGAGGGTGATAAACAAGGTCTCCCATAGAACCTGCACCCCCCTCCGATTGGCTAGCCTGGCTGGCCCGTGAATCCTGGTCTCTATACATTTCTGTCTCTCCGGAGCTGGGGTTACAAATGGGTAGCACCACGCACACCCTGCTTTACCATGCGAGTTCTCAGGTTCAAACTTATATCCTTATGCTTAAGCCTTTCCTGCCCAAGCCTTCCCTCTCTCCCTCTCCAATAATCTGAATTCCTTAAAGAACATGAAACACGACCTCTTTGGAAGGGAACTAAGAAAGCAGTTTGCTGGGATGTTTACAATATATCGTTTTATTTTATTTGTTTATTAGACTTATCTATTGTGTGCCTGTGCACGGATGCATGTGGAGGTCAGAGGACAACATGCAGGAGCTGGTTCTCCCATCATGTGGGGTCCAGGAATTCAACTTGGTCAGCAAGCTAACCTTTGGTAACCTTGGTTACCTTTATCCACTCAGACACTACTCTGTTCCATATTTGTATTTTGTCTTTTTTTTTTCCTCTGCACAGAAGCAGAAGCAGCCGAGCTGCTGTTGTTCATGAGTGTGTGAATGTGTTGGAATTACACATTTCTCTGGCCTATTTACTCAGAGAGGATAACTGTGCTCACATATCTCTGGGAAGACTCAATAAAATAATCCATGTGACTACAAGAGAATGGGGCAATTCATAGGCATTTATCCTTTCATGATAGTTTCCCATAGTTTCCATATATACTTCCAGAATTGCAAGAAGAACTTTACAGACTAAAACAAAGTAAGAACTGTCCTAAGATTTATGAAACTATAGTGAGAATTTACAAATGTGACGTAGAAGAGAAACCAACCACCTCAGCATAGCCCAAGCAAAGGACACCCCCAAGACAGAACAGTTGGTGTTCATGTTATTTTATGTACTGCACTCTGACATTAGTGACAGACACTGGGGAACCATGATACATGCCAGTCAAAGAATTTGATGGCTGAAATACAACCCACCCACACTCAAATTATGTCTCTTACCACACTCTCAACATACTTTTCTTTGGCTACAAAGAGTAATACAGTAAGTAAAACAAGTGCATGGCCCCTTCTCACCAGGAAAGGCAGGAGTGGGAAATAGGTCTACTGTGATTGCCACTTGACTATTTGAGTGTAAGATGTTACCAATAACACATAAAGGTAAGAGATGCCCCTTCCAATAGGATTCTCCATGAGCTATGGTTAATTACAGAACAAAAACCTTGAGCTTTCAAAGCATCTTCCCTTCAAAATGCTGAGTTTCCTGTGCACCGATGGAATGATCCCTTTAAGAGAGCTGACAGTTACTGTCACACTTCAGCCATGAAGGGTGGAGAGGTCCGAAAACCTTATCCCTAGTCCATAATGGGACAGAGAGGGGAGGGCTTGTGTCTTCAGACTCTGAAGGCAGGAGACATGGCTCAGCGTTTAAGAGAGCTGCTCACTCTTGCAGAGGAGCCATGTTTGAATTCCAGCATCCACATGGGGGTTCACAACCATCCACACCTGCAGTTCCAGAGGATCCGATGTTCTCTTCAGACCTCTGTGAGCACCAGGCATGCATATGACACAGACATTCACATGTGACACAGACATACATACAAGCAAAATATTCATATACATAAAAATAAAAAAGGAATGTAGTTCCTCAAATACTTCTACAAGAGAGAGCACAGAACACATGTATACACACAAACACACACACACACACACACACACACAAAATTTATGAATTCCTCTGCCAGCCCTCTGGCAGAACAATGAACTGCAGGGCCCACAGGTTTATATCAGGACTTTCCAGGACCCATGTCTGCTAATTAGTTATGTCACTTGGCAAAGTTACTGAACTCCCCCAAGCTTCATTTTTCTTCATTTCACAGCCATTTTTCAAGTTCGGAGAATAGATGTAAAAGTAATTATTTGGATGATTATGAAGGTAATCAACTAATTATGCTTCTCTCGTATCCACCTTTAGTAACAGGCACATGGAAAATGAAGATTAAGCTCTGGTTTACTCTAAAAGCTTGAACTGGTAGAACTGAGAACACTGGTCTGGCCACTGACTTGGGAAGACAGCTCAGAAACTGCCTAGTGGCACATTTCCGTACAGATGACAGAGGGACGAGGCATTCACAATGACCCAGGGCCTTGAGAACAGAGACAGGCAGAGAACTGGTGTGTCACAGCAGGCCTGGGACATCCTTGAAGGATGAGGAAGGACCTAGTCTGCCATGGAAAGTGATGGGCAGTCTAACCAGTGAATGCTGAGGACTCTGGAGTAAGATTTGTTGAACATGGTCAACAGTACTGGGCCAGGGAGACAGTGAAAGAATCTCAAAAATGCTATATACAATGGAAATGATCATGTGAGCACTGACCGAAGTTTAGAAGACCATATTGAAGTCCACGGGAACAAGATTTCTCAGTAATGT